GTCAGGCAGAGCTGCTCCCGCCCCCACCGGAGGACACAGCTGGGGGCTGAGCTGGGACTGGCTGGCAGTGCTGAGTCTGTGTCCCTCTCCCTCTGTCCGAGCCCTAACCTGGGGGATGGAACAGGAGAAGGAGGAGACGACATGCAGCCCTGAGCGAGGGGCCAGCTCAGCGTCCTAAAACTAAGGTCCCAACCGGCATTCCCTGGGCCTCCTCTTGCACCTGGGAACAGAGGCCAGTGGGTTCTGCCACCAAACACACAGCACATCGCTTGAAATCAGGGTACTAGGGCCAGGCCAGCATCTGCCTTTTCCTCCATGTCTCAGCAAAGCTGCTCAAAACTGTCTCTTCCCCCAGCAGGAAAAGCATATGTTCTTTCCATATAGAGGAGAAATTGTTCCATGAGTGAGTAAGCTCTTGGCCGCGGAGCCTGGCCCAGCCTGCAGCCCGCCGGGCCGGAAGCGGGCAGCGCTCGCTACCGCTCTTGGAGCCGGACTGGGCTGGCTCCTCACCTTCGGAGACAACAGGCCTTTGGACGGGTGGGGCCGGGCAGTGGGGAGCCGGGCAGGCGTGTGCCTGAAGACAATTAGCAGGTCAGGGTAGAGAATCCTTTCCCTGAATAGAAGTTCTTTTCTCCCTTCAGGCTGGGCGGGGTGGGGTGGAGGAGGGAGGGAAGGCTCAGGGGTTTGAGGGTGGCAGGCGACCTTTCTAGTCCCCTCACTCCGTCAGCAAACAGGTCTGAGTCAGAGGTGACTCAGGTGTGCTCAGCAAGGCAGGGCCATTTTTAGACTGTCATTTCCAGCCACCCCCAAATTCTCCTTGATGCCTTCAGGGTTAGGTGGCAGGAGGTAATGCTGTCCTGTACCCGGGCCTTAGTTCATTCTTCCAGAGCCACATGACCATACAGGTCTTTCCAAAGCCAGCCTGGGCTGGAGGATGCTGCTCGTTCCCTGGGCTCAACTGAGTCCTGGTTCTCTTTCCACCTTTTCCCCGTTTGTTAAGAATCCACTGAGATTGGGGCTTGGGGGAAGTGGGCAGAGAAGTGACAGGGAGGCCAGGGTGTTGGGGTGGGTCGTGGGGCAGAGGGGAAATGGGGAGGGGCTCCACATAAGGGAAAAACTGATGAAGAAACTGGGGACATTTAACCGGGAGAGGCAAAGACTCAGGGTAGAGATGGGGGTCATGAAAACGATCTGAAGATGGGTGACCTGTCACCATGTAGAAGTGGGATTTGATTTTTCCTGGGTGGGAGCTTCAGTGGGGCAAGCCCTGTGTGTATAAATCAGGGACCCCAACCCTCCGAGAGTGCTTTCGAGACAGTGAATTCTGCGTCGTTGGACACATCGAGGCCAAGGGTGGATGGCCCCCAGTTGAAAGGGGTCAGGTGTCAGGTGAGAGGTGGACTAGAGCTTAGGTCTCAAACTGGTGGCCTGTGGGCCAAGACACAGCCCTGAAGATGTTCCCATTGGCCAGCATTTCTGCACGGCCACAATCAGCTGGGGCCGAGCAGCACCTGCCCCTTCCAGCTGGGCACGCTCCCAGTTCTGCCCAGCACATCAGGCCTGGGTTGCTCGTTTCTTTCCTGGACTGGCCCCTTAGGCATTCATGTCTGTGACCCTTGGAGCATAGCCCTGACCACACTCCTCCTTCTCCTTCTCTAGGTTCACCTGCAGGCTCCCCTGGGTCAGGAGGAGGAGGCGCTTAGGTGAGACCACAGGGCATGAGCTGCCCCGCCCTGACCAGGTCTCCAGATGGAGCACCCACCTGGCTGGAACCAGCAGCACCACGCGCTCCTCCTCCGCTGCCGTTGTGCTGGGTCTGTCGTGGTCTCCAGGGACTGGTTCTTACCCCTGGGACAGCAGAGTCCCTCAGCTGGCCTTCCTTTCCTGGAGTGGCAATAGTCCTGCAGAGTGTTTAGAGCCTGGGAAAGGCACCCAGGGCACTGTGAATTGAGGTAGAAGAGACAAAGTCAGAAGGTGCACCCCTCCCCCGCTGGGTCCAGGAGGGTGGCCTAGGGAAGGATGCCAGCAGCAGTGGCTCTGAGGGAAGGTGGAGTAGGATGGGGGAAGGATTGGAAACTAACCTGTGGAAGCAAAGTGGGGCAGCTAAAGGGCTTGGGAAGAGGAGACCAGAAGGTGAGGCCAGCTCTGCCTTCTCCCTGTGTGCCTGGGGTGGATCCTGACTTGTACTTCTCAGAACTGAGGGCAGAAGACCAGGACGGAGTGGCCTCTGTGGGGAATGAGATTCCACCTGATGGTGGAGCAGGCTGGGGCAGGTTTCAGAGTGGTTTCTCTTCCCTGGTCCCATGTGTTTCCATGAGAACTATGGGAGTTGGAACTAATATTCCCACTTTACAGATGAGGAGACTGAGGCAGGAGTTGCCCAGGGGTGAGTCTTGCCACTAGCTAACAGTGGGCTCCTGGGTGTTCAGCAGGTCTGCTTTCTGCTGCCAGCTCTCCGGCCCACTGGGAGCAGGTCTGCTGGGGATGACGGAACTAGTCACAAAGCAGCCACTTAACAGACATCACCTTCCCTTCCTCGATCCTTTACAACCTCAGCGAATAAACCCAACATTTAGGCCTGGCCTCAGCTCCAATTGTTTCGGGACCTGGGTTGGTCAGGAGTCTAGAGGGGCCACCCGGGGGCAGCGCTTTATTTTGATTATGACCAGTAGTGATGGGTGCTGTTCATTCTACCATCCCTACCAGCCACCAACCCGGTACTGGGCACCCTGCGTAAGATCTCAGTCATCTTCTTAGCCCATCGGATGGATGGGGGTCCTGAGCCTCGCAGATGAGAGAACTCAAGCCGGGCCAGCCTGACTCTGAAGCTGGTACTCCCTGTAGAGCGCGCCATGTCTGCGTTTCTTACGCAGACACTGAAAAACCGGCTGTGCAGAGGCAGGGAGCCCATGAGTGGGGCTGGGGCGCCCAGCGCACACTGCCCTCTGGGGTCCTCACCCTTACACAGCCCCCGCCTGGGAGGGGGTGGGCGTCTCCCCGGGTTTTCTCTCCCCTGGGGCATCCAGGCACCACAGACAGAAGCAGGAGTTCGGGCTCGAGATTTCCTTTGGGAATGCCTTTGCTTTGGGCATCCCAGTTGGTCTCTCCTTCCAAGGAAGCCTGAAGCCGTGGAAAGGAGCTTGGGCTGGGAGTCGGAGAGCCCAGGGTCACCTTCCAGGCCAGGCTGCCTCGCTGTCCCAGGCCCTCTCCAGCCTCAGCTCAGTGGCTGAGTGAGGGCAGCCTGGAGGGTCCCCTGAGCAGCCCTCTAGCCATTTCTGAAGACACAGCCCCTCACACCTCATGCCAAAGCGTTCCTCAGGCTGGTTCTGCCTGCCTGGCAGCCTGGCCAACGGACGGCCCAAGGGCACCACCTGGTGGCCAGTCATAGCCAGACAAGGCAGCGCACCCAGCAGCTTTGAAGGTCCATAAAAATCCCAACAGCAGTGGGCCAGGTCACAACCCTGAGACTCGGGAGACAGGGCAGGAGAGAACCGTGAGTTCTCTTCCCCAGCCTCCCGGGAGTGGGAGGGAGCCCTCCAGGTTCCCAGAGGTCAGTGTGCGAATGGGAGGCCCTGCATTGTAAGCAGTCTGAGGGAAAAGCACTTGAGTTTGGGGTCGGACGGTACTGCATTTGAATCCCTCGGGTCCTTAACGTTATCATAAATCCCTCATCTATGCAGTGGGGCTATTTAGGACATATCTTGCAGGGCTGTGGACCTCTCTCTGCATGAGCAGGTAGCCAAGGGAGATGGCAGGGGGCAAGGCTGGACCGGTGACCAGTGTCCACGCCAGTGGCACTCAGCCCTTAGGCCAGTGGCTCTCAGCTGTGGCTGCACATTACAGTCACCTGATGCCTAGGCAGAGCTTCTCAAAGCATCGTTCCCAGACCAGCAGCATCAGCATCAACTGGGAACTTACAAGGAATGCAGATTCTTGGGCTCCACCCCAGACCTGCTGAATCAGAAACTCTGGGGGTGGGGCCCAGGGCCCTCCAGGTGATGCTGATGCAGGTCAAGGTGAGAACACTGTCCTTAGGAACTGCTGGGGTTGCTTACAAGCCCCTCAGGTGATTCAATTTTCCTGGGCATCAGAGTCACCTGCGGAGGTCAACAAACTAGCAGATGCCGGCCCCGCCCCCCAGCGATTCTGGTTTAGTGGAGCTGAAGTGGGCCCCGGGCACAGGCTAAAACAACAACTCTGCAGCTGAGTCTACTGAGCAGTCATGGCTCTGGTTTGGACCCTTTTCCCCACACACTGCGCATGTCCTTCCTTCAGAGGGTGGGTCCCACAGCAGAATGCAGCTGCTCTCCCTGGGGTCCCCTAGATCGGCAGGTGGTCCAGAGAATAACCACCAGTCATTGACATTTGGTGGGTGCTTAAGCTGTGACAGGCATGGTGCTAGGGACTTTGTATGCAACAACTCACAAGAACCCTATGAATTGTTAGAATTCTCCATTTTACAGATGGAGAAACTGAGGCACAGAGAGGTTAAGTAACTCACCCTAGGTTACACAGCTATTAAATGGCAGGACCAGGATTCCAACCTAGTTCCCCTTGATTCCAGAGTCCACTACCTTTGCATGCTTATTTGACAAAAAAGAGGAGGGAATGACTTGCTGAAGATCACTGGGGGTGGCACCCATCACACCTCCTGTACCTTTGCTTCGAAGTTCACCAGTGCCATGGCACCAATTTCAAGACAGGATGAATGGACCTCTGAGCTGGGTGTCTCCCAGGGAATAATGTACCGCTCTGGGCATAAAAGCAGCTGGAGAAGGGCGGCAGAGGCACGGGTTGCTAATTAAGTTGCATGCCACCTAGATTCCTGGAGCTTCTTCTTGGACACACGGGATCCAAGATATTGAGGAAATTGACACTTGCCCCCCATCCCATCTCAAGTCCTCACAGCCCTCTCAGCCTCACACAGATTGGGTCTTGTCCACCATTACCAGGCTCAGAGAGAAGAAAGGAAAAGAGGAGGATCTGATGACGGAGTAGAGAAAATATAGTCATTTTACTATTAAAAATGCATTTTACAAAAGCAAGTGAGTTGCTGTCCTGAAGAGCTGCAGGCCGCCACTCCCTGGGGAATCGAGCTTCAGTCCCAAACCGTGGGGCAAGCAGCCCTCAGTGGTCTCGAATCCGCCGGGAGATTCGGTAGAGCTCCATCGTGGCCCTGGCGTCTTCCACGGAGCTATGTCCTGACTTGCTGTTCTGCAGACACAGGTAGAGTCGGGGCTTGGGGCGGGGCTGAATCCAGACACCCAGAGTGACCTGGGCTTTCCCTGCTCACCACCCGATTCCAGGGCTCCATCACTTCTGATACCCTGGACTCAGCAGGTGGCTGGATCAGGCCTGGCTCCATCCATTAGTCCCGGGCCGGGGCACTAAGCCCAGGCGTGGCCAGGCACCACGTCCAGCATCCTGAGAACCAGGCTGTACCCTCAAGGTGCTTACAATCTGGTAGGGGGTGGGCACTGCAGACTTGCTCCACAACACGGGGGCTGAGGCAGCTCTAAGAGGACGCTCCAGGGTGCCCGGGCATATGGGAAAAAGGGACATGTCAAAACCATGTTTCTAATGTGCTACTTCTCAGCAAGTTGAGAACAGTGTTGTTCAGTGAATCGATGTGCTGACCATTCTGTCATTGGTCCTGTGTGCCACTGGGCTAACCGAGCGGCCAGACTCAGGCCCATCCCCTGCTTCCTCCACGATTCCAGCTCGCCCAGCCAAGCAGTCCCTCACTCATCACACCTCGAACTCCTCTCCTGCGCACCTCTACTAAGACCCACCTCCAAACTCCATTCAGATCCGGTGTCCTCCCTGCCACCCATCCTTCGTCCCTGCTCCCAGGACACCCGCCCTTCCCTCCATCGGACACTCCCCACAGCGTGTGCTGACGACCGGGTTCTGGGCCACCATCCATTCAACCAAGAATTCCTCAAGGACAGGGCTGAGCCTTGCTCACCCGTGTCCCCTGCAGCCGGTCCAGCCTGGCCCATAGTAGGTGTTAATGAATCAGTGTTGACCTGGAAGGCCCGCGTGGGGAGCCGCGGCTCCTAGTGTCTGGCCCACCTGCCTGGGCCCTTCCACTGGGTGAGCTCCCGACCCCAGCACTGCTGCCTTCACCTAGGGCTCGCCGAGACTAGTGCTGAGAGGTAGGGCCCAGGAGCAGCGTCAGCGGATGGCTGATGGGAGTTGTGTGTAAAGACCCCCGCTCCCTGGGTGAATCTGGGGTCTGCGTTTTACACCCTCTCCCAGAGTTCCGCAGTGGGATTAAGTCATCCACAGGGTAACTGGCTTGATTTTAAAAACAAACCAACCAACCAACCTTTATTGGACACCTTCCCTTCCCTGCCTCTCCTCCTCCCTCCACCAGCGCTTGCTGGGGCCACCTCATATAAAATTCCTGCACCCCGATCCTGCGGGGGGCTGCCTCTGAGGGAGCCCAGACAACGCCGCCCCTCTCACACGCTCACAGCCCCCAGGACTACGGGGGAGACTGTCCATGGGGCCAAATATTTGTTCTGGAGCCACTGAGGGATTGGAGAGTCCAGGGGGGAAGGCCAGGCCCCAGCACCAGCTCTCGGGCCGCAGCCTGGGAGGGGAGGCTCCTCACCTGGATGCGCCGCCCGAGGAGGCGCTCACTGAGCACCCGCAGGGAGACGCGCCTGCAGTACTGCAGGTTGGCCTCGCGCCACAGCCGCCTGTCGGTGGACGTGTCGTAGATGGCGTAGCCGCTCATGTTCTCCTTCAGGGCCTTGAAGTCGTGCTTCAGGTCATGACCCACCACCAGCTTGCCTTTCAGGAGCTGCAGGATCTGGCCAGGAAGACATGCCACCACATCACTCAGGGTCCTCCCGGTGGGTCTGGGGCAATTTGGTGCCTTCATGGGGATGGCAGGGAGCAGCCCCTCCTCGACTTGCTGTGTGACTTTGAACAAATCACCGACCCTCTCTGGGCTTCAAACATATGTATAAAATGAGGAGACTGTGCCAGGTCCCTCCTCACACTGAATAGCTTAGGTCTGTGCTGAAGGCCAGTGGTTCCATGTGTGATAGCAACGGCTAGCACCTACTGAGCATGTCCCACATGCCAGGCACTTGCCTAAGGACGTCACGTATATTATGTCCTTTAATCCTTTCAACAGCCCCACTGTGGCAGGCTGAACAATGACCTCCCAAAGATGCCCACGCCCTAGTCCCCCGAACCTGTGAACATGTTACATGGCAAAAGGAAATGGAAGTTGCAGATGGAGTTTAGGTTGCTAATCAGATGACCTTAAAACAGGGAGATTTTCTGGATTATCCAGGTGGGCCCAACATAATCCCAAAGATCCTTATGGGTGGAGGTCAGAGTGATTCGTTGGGGGAACTTGACATGCTGCAGCTGGCTTTGAAGACGGAGGGATGGGCCGTGGGTCAAGGACCACAGGCGGCCTCTTTTTTTTTTTTTTTTTTTGGTGAGGAAGATTAGCCCTGAGCTGACATCTGTGCCAGTCTTCCTCTACTTTGTATATGGGACGCTGCCACAGCATGGCTTGATAAACCCTGGAACCCTGGGCCTCCAAAGCAGAGCCTGTGAACTTAACCACTACGCCACTGTGTGGTGCCACACAGGTGGCCTCTTTAAGTGAGAAAGGCAGGGAAGCAGATTCTCTTGCAGGGGCTCCAGAAAGTCAGGCAGCCCTGCCAGCACCCGGATTTCAGCCCAGTGGGACCCGTGCCCGACTTCTGAACTGCAGAACTGTGAGATAGTAATGTTGTGTTGTTTTTAACCACTAAGTTTATGGTTTTGTGACAGCAGCCATAGAAAACTGAAATGGAAGTGGGGGAGGGCTGTAGTTAACTAAATTTTGCAAATGAGAAACTGAAGCACTGAGAAAGTGAAATAATTAGCCCAAAGTTACTCTGATGGTTTTAACGCAAGTCTGCAGACTCACTGACACCCCTCTCACAAAACATGGAGTCTCATTCCCCTCGCCTTGAATATGGGCTTATGTGTGACTTCTGCCTTCTCTGTGGGAGAGGAGGCGAGAATGGAGGCAAGAGGGGAGGCTTGGACACCTGTGCAGGGTGCTGGGCTGGGTGCATTCCAGGCTCCGTATCCTGGGAGCCCTGAGCCATCCAAAGCCACTGCACTGCAGAGACCACATGGAGACAGAGATGTGCCTGAGGAACCCCAGCCACCAGGCGGGCGGGGAAGTGAACCTTCTGATGATTCCAGCCTCTGGCTTGCAAGACACCTCGTTGACCCGCTGTCCCAGTCTGTCAAGCCCTGCCCAGATCGCAGGTACATGAAGGAAGTATTGACATTGTTTGAACCACTATTTTGGGGCGATTTGCTAAGCACTGTTAAATAACTGGGACAGTCACACAGCTAGCTAGTGGCAGAGCCAGCCTTCAAAGCCAGCAGGCTGGTGCCAGCCCCTGCTTGTCACCATTACACATTGCAGAAAGAGCAGGCCTGCTCCAGGCCTGTGCCAGCCCAGCGGCCGAGCTTCGAGGAGCAGCCTGGAGTGCACCCAGCCCAGCGCCCTGCACAGGTGTCCAAGCCTCCCCTCTTGCCTCCATTCTCGCCTCCTCTCCCACAGTGGCCCCAGGGACAGCCTTCTGCCGCTCTGGCCACACAGGCCAGTCACCTTTCTTTGTCTTGGCTGCCAGTGGAGAGGATGGGAAGGGGGGCCTTGGGGCAAACTGTACCAGGCCCCAGCTGAAGGTGCAGTGTGTGACTGTCTCAGGCCCACTTTGGACAGCCCCCCACAGCCACTGTCTCCTCTGTGCATCACCCAGTACCATAGTCTGTGCCTGGGGAAGGAGCCTTCTGGATGGCTGACACCCGCCCAGTCCTGCTTCTGCTTCTAGGGGCCTCCTGGGACATCATGTGGGGCCTTTGATATGCTCCCCCTTGGCAACCACGGGATCATTATGGCCACTTCACAGAAGAGGAAGCTGAGTCTCAGAGAGGGGAGGTGACCTGCCCACGGTCACAGCGCTGGACCTCAGCAGAGTCTGTCCATCCACTGTCAACAGGCAACGTTACCAGTCTGCCCTGCCCTTCACGGGGTTTTGTGAGGGCCTCCTCTGGACAGAGCCTGTGCTCATCCTGGGGACTGGGGAAAGCTCGGTCGAGGAATGAAGCTGTGCCGCTCCTGACGGACACCAGCGCACCTCACACTGGGCTTACGTGTCACCTGACCAATCTCCCTGAAATCTGGGTTCAGATTCCGGAGTCTGCATTTCTAACAGGGGGTGCCAATGCTGCTGGTCTGGGGGTCACCCTGAGTGGTGAGGGCACCCGACCTCAGAGCAGCGGTTCAAGGGGACTCCTGTGTAGGAGGGAAAGGACCGGCCCAGGGGGAGGGGTGGGGAGACGAGGCTGTGCTGGGCGGCCGTGAGTCACGTGCCTTCTCTTGCTGACATCCTTTCCGTTTCCGAACAATGTGGCCTGTTTTCCCTGAGCCATCTCGGACCTGGCTTAGGCCCAGTTCACACCAAGCCCTGAGGGAGCTGTCTGCTATCCCAGAGACAGCTGCAGCCGGTCCCAGGCACAAGAGGGCCAAATCATTGTGCTGTGGATTCCTGGGAAATTCATCACTTCCCGAGTCCGAGGGTCCCTGGGTGGGGCTATGTTCGGTACCACGGGCCCCACCATGAGACAAATAAGATGAGGTGGACAGGCAGAAGGAAGGAAGAGGGAGCAGGGAAAAGAGAACAGTCTGTTTAGCAGAGATGCCAACAACTCTTCAGGACAGAGATGCTGGGTACCGGGCAGGAAAAGACTGCTGGGACTTGCTGTGCGGTCTCAGGGATGTCAAAGACGGTCTCTGGGCTTCAGTTTCCCCATTTGTAAGGTAAGGTCCTGGAGAGGTGGGGTTCCACCGACGCTCTGAGGCAGGGTTGGGGAGGGAGGGTGGGAGGAACTGCTGGGGGCCAGGGAGAGGTGGGAGACGCCAGCTGGTGAGGCCTCAGGGCTGCATGACCTGCTGGCTGTGGGACTGCCGAGTCAGTGTCATGAGGCAGGTGTGTCAAAAGCAGGGGCGGAGACTCTAGGATTCCTGGAAAGAACTGGAGGGGGAAGGGGCAGTCATCGATCTGCTCTCGTCAGCCTGGCACTGTGCCCGGTTCTTTCCTCACCTCCTCCTGAGGCTTCTCAAGAGGAACACGCTCGGTTCCGTTTGACAGAGGAGGATGCTAGGCATCAGAGAGGGGAAGAGGCTTGCCTAGGTCACACAGCCGGTGAGTTGCGAGCTGAGATGCAATGCCCGGATCCACCTGAGCCTGTCCCTATTCTCACAGTCGTTATCATTACCACCTACGGAGACCCGAGGGGCCGCACCAGCATGATTAATCCAGAGCGCAGAGCACAGCTGGGCCCCCGCCTCTCTGAGGATTTCGTGAATGGGGAATACAGCCCCTCTAAGGCAGGACTGTCATACCATATGACCAAGAGGGAAGGGGGGCGAGAGTGGTGTGTGCCCACATCACACAGCGGGACATTTTCCACACGTGCCTCATCAAAAATTCACCTGGGACCCTTGTTAAGAATCCAGAGGGTGGCCCCCCTCCAGGCCTACTGAATCCAGATCACCAGGGGGCGTTCGCACATACTCCAGGGGATTCTCCACATCAGGGAGTCTGGGAGTCTCTGCCCTGACGCCTGTCGAGCAGTTCAGAGCCTGCTGCTTCTCCCATGCATTCATGCATCCATTCTTTTATTAGTTCACGGACCCATTCCTTCATTTCTGGCTGCCAGAAGAGGTGGCTGTAAGGGACTCTGAAGAATGTTGTCCCTGCAGAAGTCCAGATCCCTTACTGTCCTCTTCAGGAGTGGCCTCAGTCCCCTCTTCCCTCTGTCCCCTTCCCCCAGCTTGTGCCCGCTTCCCACAGGGCTGTACCCCCGGGAAACCTGGATGGTGAAGTCATCCTCCTCCATCTGGCCGAGCCCCAGAGACAACTGCCCGGTGGCAGGGCCCCAAGAGGGCACCCTGACCCAGCCAAGGGCTGCAGCGCTGGTTACAGCTCAATTAACTCCCTGTTCACCAGCTCCTGTGGCCGCCCTTCTGTCTGTGTCTCCCTCCTAAACCATGATGCTTCACGGGATTCAGTTTCCCTGTGTGCAAACTAAAACTGTAATGACCCCTCCCCAATCCCAATCACAGTGTAGATGCTATTCATCATACTGGCTTAACATTAAAAGAGCATTAACTTACAAAAGTGAGCTACGAGCTATTAAAACTTACTGTTGGTAAAAAGAAAGAAAAAGAGCATTAACCTGCCAGGTGAGAGCCCTGGATCTGAGCACTGAGTTTTAACATAGCTTGCTGTGTGTCCTTAGGCAAGTCACTGCCCTTCTCTGGACTTCAGTCTCCTCATGGGTTCCTTCCTGCACTGACAGTCTGCTTTGTGGGGCTCTCTATAGATCAGACTTTCTCAGCCTATGGATCCTTTTTTGGTGTGAGTGTGGTGGGGGAGTGGCTGTCCTGTGTGCTGTAAGATGTTTAGCACCATCCCTGGTCTCTACCCGCTGGATGTCAGTAGCAGGCACCCCTCCCCACTTACGACAACCAGAAATGTCTCCAGATATTCTAAATGTCCCCTGCAGAGCAAAATCAGCCTGCACTGAGAACTGCTGCTCTAGATGGTGGTCAGACCTAGAGATGTCAGAAGATAGGCAATTCCCTTACATCACAAAAGTATGTAACCATATACGAAAAGTAAAAATAAACGAGAGAGAAGGGAGTGGCGGGAGCCCACTCACAGTCTGAGTGCCCTCTGGCAGCAGCACCCCTGGGTGGCTCGGGGCTCAGCGGCTCCCCAGAGCCCTCCTGGATGCCCTGGGCTGCCCTGTGGCTCTCTGCGAGCTGAGCCACCTCAGCGCTCCCACGGGAGGCACTCAGGCTGGTGAGCGACCTTTGAAGGTGCCTGCAGGAGACTAAGGCCTGGCAAGCCCCAGCGCACCTGAGAGGGGTCACTTGTGGGGTCTGATAAATGGCTGATAGGCTTCTGCCCTTCCTGGGGCCCGTGACCCTGGTCTCTGTCTTTGGGATTGAACCATTATGGATGATGAGTGGGATCAAACTGCCTCAGAGTTCTCGTTCACGAAAACAAATGGCAGCCGTGGCCTTGCAGCACCTCTGCACTCACATGCCACACCAAACCCTGCCCCTCTGTGTACTGGACACAGCGTTCACAGAGTACATTCACACACGTTGATCATGCGATCTGAACATCACAGAGCAAGCTCTAGAGCCAGAAGTGAGTCTCTGCTCCACCCCTTCCTTGGACAGCTGGCTCAGCCTTGGCCTCAGTTTGCTTGTCTGCAAAATGGGGTGATGGTACTAGTTAACTACGTCCCAGGTCGTGGTGGGGAGTGAAGGCAACGGTGTGTGAAAAGCACTTAGAACAGTGCCTGGACACAGTGCTGGATACACCTGTGCTACTTCATCACACCTGTGTTACAGAAGAGCCTATCAAGGGCGCGGAGAGGTCTAGCAACAAGCTGCGGGACACAGAGCAATCGAGTGGCAGACACCCAGCCAGTCTCAGCTCCCGACCCCAGGCTGCGTGTGTGCTACTGCATCTCGACAGCAAAGGCCAGCACGAGGGCAGAGGCAATTTTGTTCCACACAGCTGCCAGAACTCCTGTATTCCGTGAAAATCAACTCCAATCCTACAAACATTCTCAGGGCACCTTCTGAGTGCAAAGCACAGCATCACTCTGGGGCAGAGAAAGTGTAGAGCAGGGGCTGTGGGGCCAGGCAGAACACGTGCATGGACAGGCAAGCTTTACAGTGCATGGGCCACAGCAACGAGGGCGAGGGACCCCACGGGGGGGGGGGGTCCAGCAGGGGGGGATGGGCATCGTAAAGGACTCCTCTGGCCTGGGCCTGCCAGAATGGTAGCATTTCTAGGGGCAGGGGAGAGTAGGAGTTTGGCTGAAGGTAGGGTGGGCGATGGCTGAGCTGCAAGAGAAGCAAGGAGAGGTAGGTAGGTAGGGGTTTGGAGGGCCCCGAATGCTGGGCTAGGGGGTCTTAGCCAATGGGAAGCCACGGCAGGTGTTTGAACAGTGGGGTGGGGAGGCTGTGACCTGAGCCAGGCGTGGGGAAGTTCCTCTGCAGCAGGGTAGGAGAGATTGGCAGCAGCATACCTGGTACAGCAGGCAGAAAACGAGGGCCAGAATCAGAGACCGCCGTTCTCGGTCGGACAATCTGGGTTTCTGCCCTGCTCTCCCCACGGGCACATTCAGTGACCATCAGCCGGGCACCAGGCACTATGCTTAGGGGTACGGGCCGTGTCACTGCGTCCAGCCTGCACCAGGCCTGGGAGGGCAGCATTAGTACTCCCCTTTCATTGATGAGGAAACTGAGGCTCAGAGAGGTTCAAGAACTTGCTGAAGGTCACACAAACCAGTAAGTGATGGAGCAGGTCCCCAGACGTGGTTCCAAAGATCTGCCTGGTCCTCGGATCCCTGCCTTACTCCTTGCATGGCTGTGGGGTGCCTCCTCCGGCTGGGCTACGCGTTGCACATGTGAAGCACTGGGCCTGGCACAATCTCCGATGGAGAAACAAAAGCGTTCCGCACCAAGTCTGGATGAGGACCCAGGTGTCCTGACTCCCAGGCCAGTGCTCAAAGGCGTCCAGGGAACTGGCTGCACATCCAGACCACGGCATGTGAGAGGCATTTCTCTGCTGCCTCCTCTCCCCCTCCTCTGGGCCCTTCCCCTCTTTCTGTCACTCTGATGGGCAGGGAGGCTGGGGAAGAGGAGGAAGGATGGGGACATGCCATCCACCTGACTGCTCAGTGGGGATCTGAGCGCGGGGAGCTCTGTGCAGCGTCCCCGGACTCCCATCAGCACCTGGACAGACCCCCTCTTCTTTACGTTGCCCCAACTTCTTGGCGACTCTCCTTCGGCCTCCCCCCTCTTACCATTTCCTTCTTTCCAATCCTGTGTCTGCTACTGATGACTCAGGCCCTCGTATCTGCTCCCTCCGGGCTCTGAGTCTTCTCTCTACTGTCATCTCTTTCCTCATTCCCATCTATCCTCCACAGCTCCCCCCAGTCTAGTTTTCTTGAAACTAGTTTTGATCCTGCCATGCTCTTGCTCAAGAATCTTCAATGGCTCTTTGTGGCCTACTGAGTTGTGTACAGACTCCTCCCACCCCTTGCAAACACCATCAGCCTCACAGAGTCTTTCAAGAACCACCCTGATGTACTGTGCCCCCTCCTCAGGGCTCCCCATTATTCTTTTAGTACCTAGAGAACAGTGCTGTCCAACAGAAATACAACATGAGCCGCAAAGGTAATTTTAAATAATCTAATAGCCACATTTAAAAAGGTAAAGAGAAATAGGTGAAATTGGTTTTAATATGTTTTATTTAACCTAACATATCTAAAATATTATCATTTCAACATGTAATAGATATAAAAAATCACTGAGGTACTTTATGATTATCTTTTTTATAAGTCCTTGCAGTCCAGTGTGTACTTTACACTTAGAGCACATCGCCATTCAGACCAGCCACTTCTCAGGGGCTTGTTAGCCACACGTGGCTGCCGGCACCTGCTGGACGTACGGCTCTGGAGGCCGCGAGCCTGTTTTGAATCCCAACTAGCTCTTCCGCGTTCTATCCACCTGAACTTGTGCCAGTCGCTTCATGTTATGGGCTGAATTGTATCCTCCCAAAATTCATATGTTGAAATCCTAACCCCCAGTACCTCAGAATGTGACTTACTGGAAATAGGGTCATTGTTGAGGTCCTCAGGGTAGGCCCTAAACCAACATGCCTGATATCAGAGATGCACACGGGGGAATGCCACGTGAGCAAGAAGCCAGAGATCAGGGTGATGTGTCTACAAGCCAAGGAACGCCAGGCTGCCAGCAAGCCACCAGAAGCAGGAGAGAGCCAGAGAAGAGACTCCCTCACAGCCCTCGAAGGAACCAACCCTGCCCACACCTTGATCTCGGACTTCTAGCCTCAGAAGTGAGACAGTAGATGTCTGTGCTTCAGCCTCCCGGTCTGTGGTGCTGTCACAGCAGCCCCAGCCACCAGTGTCCTCATCTGTCATGTGGGGGTGAGAGGGGAAGCAACCGTGATAGCCAACATGTCCTGAGGACTAAAGCAGGCACTCTCTCCATCCTTACAATAATCCCATGAAGTTGCTGTGATTATTCTCCCCATTTTCTTTGACAGGTGGGGAAACTGGGCACAGAGAGGTTGAGTGCCCAAACTAACTCAGCTGGTAAGTAAGCAGCCAAGATTCAGACCTGCAGCTCTGAGTTAGCAGCCCCCGAGAAGCCTCCTGGCAGGCTGTCTCGGGTGGCATGAATGAGCTCATCGAGGGCGGGCGAGTGCTCAGGAGAGCATCCGGGGAGGGGCCAGCGTGCTGTAAACAGCAGCTATTGTTGTGGCCTTATCTCCAGCACCTGGAGCCTGTCGGAGGCTCGCTGGGTATGTGGAGATGAAACGAAACAATTCTCTGTGTTCTTCTGGAACCTCCCCAAGCCCCGCCACCTAGGAATCGAGGAGTTCACGTGCCCTTCCCAGAAGTCACTAACCCTGGGAGCCCTTTGAGAGCAGTTGAGTTTGCTTTCCACTTACTAACTCACAGAAACTGAAAGTTAGACTGGAGAAGATACCACAACAAGTAAAAGGCCGAGGGTGGGGAAGTCTTGGGGCCACATGCAGACCTCAAACTGAGGGGCGGCCTGATGTGGGTCTGGGGGCAAGATCTCCCTCTGGCCCAGGAGGCTCTTGCCTGTTTTCCAGGACCGGGAGGGCCCACTGCCAAGGGCCCAGCCAGTGTCCCTCGTTTCCCCACAGGAAATGGCTCACCAGTGGCAGCCCGGTGTAGAGGAAAGAATGGGGAGTCCAGCCCCCAAATCACTGTGTGTGGAACATTAGGAGAGACTCAGTTTCCCCATCACAAGACGGCAAGGTGGACCAGACGCCCCGCGGGCTGCTCCGAGACACGAGGCTAACGTTGTCAGAGGGCAGGAAGCCTTCTCAGGGACACCATGGAGAGGCCCGCGGTTCCTCCACGCCCTGGTGCTCCCCACGCAGGGGTGGCAGAGAATCATATGACTGGAGTCACAGGCCACAGATCTGGCACCCAGGGAAGGTGCCAGGGAAGTGTGCATGTGTCTGGGGGCGGTCTTTGCAGCCCCAGCCCCCCTTGGCCTGGCTGGCATATGGCCTTTCACTTACCTCCAGCCTGGCCACGGCAAATGGTGTGGCTTCCTCCATGTGCCGAGGCGTCACCCCGCTGACCGGGGTTCTGTAATCGATGATCTCCCCCTCGGGCCGGATGAACTTGTCATAGAGCACAGTGCCGTGGAGGTCCACGAGGCTGCAACGTGCCAAGCCACTCTCCCCGAAGGGCCTCAGCCCCACCATCTCGCAGTCCATGGCCACCACCTCGGTGCCACTTGCCATGCTCCACTGGGACCCTCAGATGTGCTGGAGAGGGGGCAACAGGAGGGGCATCATTTGAGGGCCAACAGAGGCCCCAAGTATCCTCAGCCACCACCCAGCCAGCCTGCACCCTCTGCCCTGCCCTTTGTCACAAATACTACCTGGCAGAGGGGGAAGTTGGCCACTTGCCACACCACCCAGCTTCCTCAGCCCAGCAGTCCCAGGGCCTCTGGTCCTGCCCAGCAGCCTCAGGACCAAGAGGCCCCCTCCCATCACCTCCCCTGGCCGCTACCCCCAAGAAACACCTTGAACCTGCCATCCCATCTCCCGCTCTCACCTGCCTGTCTCGGTGCCCTCAGCTCACGCCTGCCTCTCTGGTGCCACTTCTCAGCCGCTGCAGTTCCTCTCAGCAGTGACTCATCTCTGACTTCAGGCCGGGAATCCTGACCCTGTTTCAGTTTCTGGTTCGTTATCAAGCGAAGTCAGGGGCGGAAGGCCAGGCACGTGGGCTGGGCTGCTCCATCTCCTGGGGCTGCTGGCAGGTGGAGAGCTCGGTGGCCTGAGTCAGGACTGACAAAGCTGGCAGGCTCCATGTCTGGGTGTCCTGCCTTTGCCCCTGCCCTCCCCTCCTCAGATGACGCAGTGGATGGAGTGGATTGCAACATCTTCCTTTCCTTTCTCACCCTCCGCCCGGCCTGTAGAATAAACATCCCAGGATTGAAGCCCAGGGAATGTCCCACAACTTCCGGGCCTGCTACCAATCTGACACTCTGTGAGGTCTTTTATGGGGGCAGGGGGTGCTGGCTCTTGGGACATTGAGGCTATTAACTGGGAAGGGCAGGAGAAGGTTGGGGTGGGGGGAAGCTAGGGAAGGCAAGGAGGCAGTGAGGGAGCCCTACAGGCCTCCGTGGTTCAGGGGTGCCTCAGAATCAGTTACCTGTCTGCCCTCCACGTGCTCTGCCTCCAGCTGGGCTGACACTGTTTAAAGACACGGAGAAGCAGTCCCAGAGGGAGCCCCCACCAGCCCAGCCATATGTCCTAGGGGCTACACTCTCCCAGGCTAGCACCCTGACCTCTTAAAACAGTGCCTGGCACATAGGTAACACTCAATAATTACTGAATAAATGAATGAGTTTATTATAACTGGGGAAAAACAGAATCAGCTTTCTTTTTTTTTTTTTTTTTTTTTTAAAGATTCTATTTATTTTATTTTTTCCCCCCAAAGCCCCAGTGGGTAGTTGTACGTCGTAGCTGCACATCCTTCTAGCTGCTGCATGTGGGACTCGGCCTCAGGATGAACGGAGAAGTGGTGCCTCAATGCGCACCCGGGATCCGAACCCGGGCCACCAGCATCGCAGCGCGCGCACTTAACCACCAAGCCACAGGGCCGGCCCAGAATCAGCTTTCAATGAGGAAATCATCCATCATATGCTGTGGTGAGACTCAACAATGCATTGAGAGCCCCCCATCTTCCATCTTGCCTCCTACCCCAGATCCATCCGGAATGAGCGTTGAGCAGTCGGATCTGATTGCCCTCAACTGTCACAAGATTTGTGGCTCGAAAAGGAATTTCCTCAGGTCCCTGGTGTTTTCACCAAGCAATCTTCAACTTTAACAGACTTCAAAAATAAAACCAAATGCTAAAACACATCTGCATGATAAGGCACTGTTCCTGTTTGGTGTTCAATTGGTTCAAGTTTGGATATAAGAGATTATTTTTGGTTCCCATCCTGAATGAGCAACTTTTGCTTGAATTCAGATGGAACATATCCCTGCCCTCCCACTCTTTTTCCCCACGAGTCCTGAGCCTGCTCCCTGGTGGGCTCCAGATCTGCATCGTCAAGTCTTTCCTGCATTTCTCCCTCTCTCGGCAGGCCCTATCTCAATCCTCACCTGCCCCAGTCAGCTCCTGGTCTCCCCAGCCCCATCTTCAAGCCCTGCTCCAAACCCTAACAGATTTAATTTCCCCACATCTAATCTCTTGCACTGTCACCGCACTTTGCTCAAGAACCTACAGTGATTTCTTGTTGTCCAAAAAAAAAAAATTAAACCTCAACTCCCGTGCCGTTTCCAAGACCCTCTTTCATCTATCTCACCCACCAGCCCTTCCAATTTAACTGCACCACTATCCAATCTAAGGCCTCTCTTTTAGGTTTAAACCTAAATCCAGGGCCATTGTGTATTCACGTGGTGACTCCTCCCAAACCTTCAGACCATGTCTGTCAGTCCTTAATTCGCATTCACCCAGTGCTGGGCCCTAGAGCGGGAGGGTAGATCAGGTCTCTGCCTGCAGTGGAAGAGGCAGGCGGTCCTGCCACAAAGGCCAGCGCCCTCCCAGGCCTTCACCGCTCCCCATTCTCACTTCCTTCCCCCGCACTGGCTTCTTCTGTTCCCCAGGGCCTGGGCATTTGCCGTACCATCTGGAAAGCTATTCCTCCAGGTAATCTATTACCTTTCCTGCCTTCTATTTAAAACTGCACTTGCTATCCCCTTCCTGGATTTCTTCTGTAGGAATCAGCACCATCTGAAATACCATGTATTTTACGGGTTCATTTACTGTCCCCCTCCCACTTGCTTGGTTCGCTGGGGGGCCCCCAGCACCTAGAACGTGCCTAGGTCATGTTGGACGTTTTTCAAATGTATTGGACACAGGCACCGGCGAGTAACAGAACCTAGGGGCAGAATCCCTGATCCCAGCTCCGGGGATGGGCCAGAGGGGTTCCTAGTGGTAATGTCACAGGTTTAACTGGAATCATCCATCGGCCAGACCAAGCCCCAAGTCTTGTTGGGTCAGGTGACAGCAAAAAAGTGAATCACTCAGGGCAAACCTCTCGGCCTTACAAGATGTGCATCTGGCCACAGTTGGCCTACCTCTCGTGACAGTAGCAGGTACAAAGGCTGCACTGTGTGGGCTTCTCTGAACCCCAGCCCCAGGCACAGGCCGAGTGAACGATTCATAACGGTGGGTCAGACGCTGCTCCCTACAGGCCACCTGCCCTTTGAATTCTAGCTCAACCGTCTCCAACCTTAGCTGGGCACGTTCCCCTAAAATGTGTATGTGAATTTCTCAATTATATACTACAGATGGAATCATAAATATCAGCAATTTCATGTGGTTCAACTTAACACGTGTAAAACTGTGCTAATGGAATACATTTTTAAAAACACAGACATAAAGAGAATGAGTTAAAAATAAACTACCAATAAACATGTGAAAAGATGCTCAACATCACCAATCATTAGGGAAATGCAAATCAAAACCACACTGAGATATTACCTCACACCTGTCAGAATGGCTACCAAAAAGAAACAGAAAATAACAAGTGTTGGTGAGGATGTGAAGAAATTGGAAACCTTGCGCACTGCTGTTGGTAATGTAAAATGGTGCAGCCACTATGGAAAACAGTATTGCAGTTCCTCAAAAAACTAAACAGAACTACCACGATCCAGCAATCCCACTTTTGGGTGTATACCCCAAAGAATTGAAAGCAGGGTCCCCAAGAGATATTTGCACACCATGTTCATAGCAGCTCTACTCACAGTAACCAAGAGAGGGAAGTAACTCGTGTCTATTGATGGATGAATGGGTAAACCAAATGTGGCATATACATCCGAATGAGTATCATTCAGCCTCAAAAAGCAAAGTCTGACACATACTATAACATGGATGAATTTCGAGGACACTATGCTAAGGGAAATAAGCCAATCACAAAAAGACAAATACTCTAGGATTCTACTTATATGAGCTACCTAGTCAAATTCACAGAAACAGAAAGTATAATGGTGGTTGCCAGGAGTGGAAGGGAGGAGGGAACAGGGAGTCATTGTTTAATGAGTACAGTACTTATCCCCCGTTTTGCTTTCCGTGGTTTCAGTTACCCAAGGTCAACCATGGTCCGAAAATGTGAAATGGAAAATTCCAGAAATAAACCATTCATAAGTTTAAAACTGCTCGCTGTTCTGAGTAGCATGATGAAATCTGTCCGGCTCTGCCCCACCTGGGACGTGAATCATCCCTTTGTCCAGCATATATGCTACCCGCTCACCAACTAGTCACTTAGTAGCTGTCTTGGTTATCAGATCAACTGTTGAGGTATGGCAGTGCTTTTGTGTTCAGGTAACCCTTATTGTACTTAATGGCCCCAAAGCACAAGAGTAGTGATGCTGGTGATTCAGATATGCCAGAGAAGCTATTGCTGTTAATCTCTTACTGTGCCTAACTTGTAAATTAAACTTTATCATAGGTGTGTATGTAAAGGAAAAAAACATAGTATACACATAGGATCTGGTACTATCTGTGGTTTCAGGCCTCCACTGGGGGTCTTGGAACATTTCCCTTGCAGATAAGGGGGGACTACAGTATACAGTTTCAGTTTTGCAACCCAAAAACATTCCGGAGATTGGTTGCACAACAATGTAAATATATTTAACACTACTGAACTCTACACTTAAAAATGGTTAAGATGATAAATTTTATGTTGTGTATTTTACAATTAAAACTAAGAAAAATTTTAAGATAAAAAATGAGTACATAGCTTCAGGGAGAAACAAGTTAAATAAACCTGAGCTCTATAATAGAGCAGTTATAAAATTTTAAAAACTAAATTATATAAATTTTGTAGCTCTATTTTCTTGCCACATCCCAAGCATCATCTTTTTTTGTGTGTGTGAGATCAGCCCTGTGCTAACATCTGCAATCCTCCTCTTTTTTTGCTGAGGAAGACTGGCCCTGGGCTGACATCTGTGCCCACCTTCTTCCACTCTATATGGGACGCCGCCACAGCCTGGCCTGCCAAGCAGTGTGTCAGTGCACGCCCGGAATCCGAACCAGCAAACCCCGGGCCACCGCAGCGGAGCGCGTGCACTTAACCACTTGCGCCACCGGGCCGGCCCCCCAAGCATCATCTTGAAAGCTGCCCATCTCCAAGGCCAAAGCACCCTGCATGTGCCCCAGCACCCCCAGACTCCCACCAAGCCCCTCCCACCCTAGCTTGACAATTCTCAGAAAAGGCCACTTCACCCGCTTTTCCAATTGAATTTTATTCCAGAACGAATGGTTTTACAACAAAGCTGATTTTAAACCCAGCACATTTCCCCACTGGTAACAGCTCCATCTTCCTTTAACCCACGGACCAAAGAACTGAACTACTGCTCAGCTGTGAGTTTGGCATGGGCTACAGACTTGTAAGGAATCCAGAGCCAAGTCCCGGAGCCAGGCCAGCAGTGGTCAGCGACTCAGCCAGCTCCCGACGCCGCAGATGGGGAGGGGGTGGGAGACAACAATCTGTGGCCCTGGGCTCGCAGCAGTGTGGTGCAGGAGTGCCTCACCCTTCCTGGCCTTGCTGCTTTGCTCAGACTGACATGAAAAACCCATTTTCCTGCACACAGCAGAAGGCCGCAGAGTAAACACAAACCTCCACACTGTGTCTCCACCCCGGCCCGGGCCCCACCTGCTGGAACAGCCAAGCACAGCTCTGTCTCGGTCAAAGTGCTCAGCCCGAGGCGCGTGTTCAGGTATGTCATCCTGCAGAGGCTGGAACCAAGCCTTCAAGAAAACCCAGCAGCTCCCCTAGACCAGGGCCCACCCATGTCGGGCCCTGTGCTGAGCACTCAGTACTCCATCCTCATAACCACTCCATGAGGTAGGTCACATCGTTATCCCCATTTTACAGATGAGGAACAGGCTCAAGAGGGAAGCCATAGACTTGCCCCAAGTCTCCAAATTCTTAAGTGACAAGATGGGGCTCAAAGGTCTGTGTGACCTGAGCTCTTAGTTACCCCAATACCCCAAAATTGCCCCTTAGGAAACAAGAAAAGAGGAATGGGGAATGAAATCCTGACAGAGAACATTTTTAGAAATGTGCAGAAAACCCAAGCGCCACAGAGACTGTCAATCAAAGTGCCTGAGAGGGCCCCAGCCCCAGTGGACACACAGACTCTGCTCCCTGACAGACTGGTGGCCTTGCGCTCAATAAAGGAAGGCCCCTTTGATGCAATTCTGCACAGAGATCCCAGAATTCAAATTGCTGTCTTGTTTCTCAGGCTTTTGCCTGAGAGCCTAGTGTTGAGTGGGCAGGAGGAATGCCTTATTTGGGTCAAAATAAATACGCCAGACTCCACCCAAAACGGATCCATTTCCCTCCTCCCGGAATAGTGCCTGGTGACTTGTGGGGCCAAGCAGCGAGGAGCAGCTCCCCAGGAGCCCGTGGGCTCTGCTATTCCATCACAGCTTGGCCCTGAGTTCCTCCGAGGGCTGCAGCCAAAGCTCCAGTTCAGACAGAAAGGGAAGAAAGGTCTCCTTGAGGGGTCTTAACTCTGTAGCTTCAGGGCATATTTATTCTGAAGCCGAAGATGACTCTGGAGGAAGAGGTAGGTTGCCACAACAGGAAGAGAACTTTACCCCAAGTCGCTGACTTAGATAAGGGAGCTCCTGGATATTGACACCCCCACCCACCTACCCCGCCCTGGGAGGGAGACATTATCCCTTTAGATAGCACAGCCTGGGGGTGGGGAAGTGACAGCCTGAGACAGTATGTTGGCGCATTCTCTACTCCTGCTGGGCCCTAGTAGCTAGTCCACCTGACATTTTCAGGGTGTCTATAAAGTGCCATTAGCAAAACCACAGGAGTGGAGAGAAAGGGTGACAACAGCCCTGGAGAGAGGAGGGCTGTGCTCTGGGCAGAGGGAGTCAAGAGGACAGATGATCCCAAGTCCTCGGACCCTGGGAGTGGCTGGCTGCACTCGGCCTCGTTCAGGATGAAGCCCCCACTGCTCTCCTGGCCCCCACTCCCCACACTCAGAAGCCGCCCGGGAACCTCTCCTCCCTCACTCTCTTTTGTCCTGTGCCTCCTCCATTCCTCCGCTGGTGGCCTGGGCCAGGTCATCAGGCCAGTACTGGTCCTCCATATACTGCTCCGTGTCCGTGCTGCTGTCAGGCTCTCTGTCCTCGGAGTGGCTCCGGAGGCGGCTGGCCTCCTGCTGTTCCCACTGCACCTCCACCAGCTGGTAGAGCTCCATGGCTGTCATGGCATCTTCCACTGATGAGTGCCCATGCTGCCCCACCTGTGGACGAGAGCCCACACATCACTGCACGCAGTCCTGGTAAGAGGCCGTCACCCGGGCCTCTAAGTACATGTACTCAGGCCCAAGAACATGTACTCCCGGAATGGGAGTGTACATCTTGGTACAGTGAGAAAGGCATGGGTTCTGGTCAGACAGACAAGCACTGGAGTCTCAGCTGTACCACAAGCCACCTAGCTTCTCCAAGCCTGTTTCCTCAAACATAAAACACAGTAAAAATCTCCACCTTCAAAGGCTTGAAGAGCAGATAGAATAATGAACGTGAAGTCCAGTAGGAGCAAGAGTGGTTAGCTGCCCCAGAGTGAAGGCCCCACCTCTGGCTGCAGGGGATGGAGTTTTACATGCAGATGCAGACAGCGCCTGGACCTGGGTGGGGGACAGATCTGGAAGAGGTCAGGCTGGCTCTCACAATACACCAGGGAAGAAGGATGGAGAGAAACACAGAGCTGTGTATACGTGAAGGAGACCTGTGTTTTATCAAGGTCCCCAGGATCTGGGCTGGGGAAGCAGGACGACAAGAGGCTGGAGGCACAGCCTCACAGCCCTGTCTGTGGCCTAACTGGCCTACCCAAGCCTTCTTGCTCCCCCCACCTGCTCCTGCACCACGCACCTGGATCTTCTTGTGCAACAGCTGCAGGGCCAGGTCCTTAAGAGAGACCCGGGTCCGGGTGTGGAGGCTGGGCTGGCTGAGAAGGTTGGGGACATAAGTGGTATCTCGGGTCAGGCTCCGAGGGTGAACATACTTGAGGGCCTGGAAGTCATTGTGCAGTGCATGCCCCACCACCACCTTGCCCTTCAGGAGCTTGAGGATCTGTGGGTGGAGAAAGGAGTCAGGAAGCCCCCAAAATCAGGTTGGCATGAGACATATCCTGATGCCCTAACCAACGGGTGCATGAGTCCCTCTGAGGGAGGCAGCATGGAGAGGGAACCATGAGCTTCACAGTCCACCAAGCTGCCTTCCCCAAGTTTGAATCCAGGCTCTTCTCCTTACCACTTACTGTAACCAGGGGCATACTTCAGCTCTCTGCCTCTGTAAAACGGGAATGCTGCCACAGCGTTCCGTGGGGTGGCTGCGAGCGTTGAAGGAGATGGGCTAGGTCTTCTAGGTACTCGAAAAAAGCACTTCCTTCCTGCTGGCACAGGCTCTTCTCTCTCGGCCTGGAAGACTTTACCAGCCCTACTGCCCTACCCAACTCTCCCAGCTCCCCTCGTGGCGGGTGGTAGTATGAGCTTACATGTCAAGAGGCCTCCCCAGGACCTCCCATTGACATTAGGACACGCTGTCCTCTCCTTCAGGGGAGTCATCCTGTTTTCTAAGTACACATTTAGCTCTGACATGGTCTATCCACCTGCCCCCTGTTGTAAGCTCACTGTAAACATGCAGGGTTTGACACGACTGGTGATGCTCAATGAAAGCTCAGCGCACAGTTGAGTGATGAAGACCCACTGGGGGAGTTCACAGAATATGCCTGGCACTGGAGACACAGTATCCACAGCAGCTGTTATTAGTAATAAGACACAGTCTGTCTTCAGGATTCTGCCCCTCTGCTGTACAGGACTCCCACTTCTCAGCTCTGACCATCTGCACAATGTGCTCCTCTCCTCCCTGCCTTCTGCCCTCCTCAGGCCCCCGGGGAGGCCACATCCAGAGCCATGGGCCTGCAACGCCCTCCAGCCTTCTCTGCTGGGCTTGGCTCTCCTTATCACCAGCTGCTGGCCTCCCAGCCTGCCTCTGCTGGCAACATATGGTTTATCGCTAAACTCAGCCTTCACAGCAGATGGATATGTGCATTTAAACTTGAGCGGTAGGGAGGTGCCACCACAATCCAGTCACACTCCCACCATAAGCCATGTGGTGGACCCTTCCTCTCCTTCAGGGGATTCATCATGTGATCAAGCACACTCCACAGTGGCTCAGAGTCCGGGCAGACAAGAAGTGGTCCTGCTCTTGGGAGCACCTCCAACCAGGACAAGGGAAGCATAGAGGAGCTAGAGGGTCAGCCACAAGGCCCTCTTCCTGTTGCTTCATTCCTGATCAGCCTGCTTGATAAATAACCTCCAAATCTTTTGAAAGAAATGCTTATGCCGTATCTTATGTGAAAAAGGAGCACACAAGATGATGGGTACCAGTATTTCCCAAATTTACCTAATCCCAAGAATAACTCAGAAACGTTAAGTAGTTCCGCTACAATGCTTGTTTTGAAAATGCAAAATAATTCCAATATGATTGATATATTAGGTCACAATTTGAGAATAATGTAAATTTCGCCTTTGCTTATGCATGATTTTGCCCTTGAGAAACACTAAGTGAATGCAGAAAACCGCACCCAGCTGACCTGAGCCACACAGGGATGCACACAATGCGCCCACCTCAAACATCTCCCAGCCACCTCAGTTCCCCTGTGAGGTGAGCCACAGCCATGCACACCTGGTGCTCCCACTTTCCGTCTCATTTCAGGTAACTCCTTCGACCACTCCACCATAATGCAAGCTGCAACCCTTCTGACACTCACTTCTGTAAGGAAACTTCAGGTCTTTTTCAGTGTAAAGTGCATTGGTGTACTTATCACCTCTTAACCATTTAGCATGTGCAAACCTGTGCTACCACTGTTACTAGGTTTCTATCTTTTCATTTTTGGGGCGTCACTGATGAAGTTTCCTGAGTGTTGTGTCCCTAACCCCATTTTCCCCATAAGCTCTGAGATTTTTATCGTGCAAGTTTGCACAGTGTGATGATTTTTAGGAATGCACACGTCACAGCCCTCTCCAGGCCTAGAGACCTACAGGATCAGAATCTCCATGGAGGATCCAGGGACAAGGATCCGAGACTGTTAATAAGGCTTTAGGTGTTTCCTTACTCTCAAGCACATTTGGGAATTCCTGGCACATTAGTGTCATCCCCGCCACTAATTTATTTTTGTTAAAACACTAAAAAATTAACATCAAGAAATATACCAAAACACTAACACCTGAAGGTGACGGCAATGGCAGTGTGGGCCTTACACATTTTCTCTGGACATGTAATACTTTTCTGACATTTTCCCACCTTATTGGGAAAAGGCTGTTGGCACAGCCTTTCCACACACATTATCGTGTAGCACATCCCAGCAATCCTCACATGCAGGTAGGTCAGGATTTTTACACACCCTGTTCTGCGGAGAAGGAACCCACTGTTTGGAGAAGTTAATAACTCTCCCAAGGTCACTCACTTCCGATGGCAGAGTGATGACCCAAATCCAGGACTGCTCTTCCCAGCCCATCACACCAACCCAAACAAGCCCCTGCCCTGCCTTCACCTCTTTCTGGGCCACTTGGAAGGGGATGGCCGTCCGCATGTGCTGCCGAGTGATGCCGCTCCAGCGAGTGCGGTAGTCCACAACGGGCATCTCAGGCCGGACGTACTTGTCGTAGAGGACGTCACCGTGGTAACTCACCACAGAGCAGCGGGCCAGCTCACTCACCCGCCCTCGGGGTCCTGTGCCCACCATCTCACAGTCTATAGCCACACACTTGCTGGGCAAAGGTCCCGCAGATTCCCTGGGGGTGGGCTTTCTACTGGATTGGACACCTCCAGATTCGGTCCTTGGGTGCTGCCTCTCACTGCTGGCAGCTTCAGTGCCTGGCGGTTCCTCCAACAGCATGGGCAGTGGGGAGGATCCTGGGTCTGGGGGCGTGCTCAGCAGCCCCTGCTCCTGCAACAAGGCCTTCCGGGCCATGAACCGCTGGTGCTGTCGGCTCTTCCTCTTGTGCTTTCTCCGAAGCGCATCCTTGACATTCGGGCTGGCCAGAGAAGGGCACAGACACCGGGCAGACTCAGGAGCTTCCTGGGTTACCATCCCAATCAGCTCACTGCTGGGGCAAACGGAGGCTTGAGAGATAATCTGCCAGCAGGGCAGCACCCTGGAGAGAGAACACACAGGGCAGAGGGGTTAGGTGAGGAGTGTGCCAGGCCAGGCCAGCCCTGGCCCTCCCCTCCTCCTGCAGTGCTCCACTTTGCCTCAGGCTCCCAGAATGAATTGAGGACCTATTTTAATAATAATTGCATTAATACAATCAATTTGTTGTTAGTGCTGTCATGTCAATTAAAACTTCTAGGGAGCCTGTGTACAGCAGAGTGGAACCCTGCCCAGTCTTTTTGAGCAATCCTCACTTTGGGGCACTCTATCAGACAATGTTCTGCTCCTGTTCATAGAGTTTTCATGGCCAATTTTTCTGGAAGTGGGTGGCCAGGTCCTTCTTCCTAGTCTGTCTAGTCTGGAAGCTCCACTGAAACCTGTGCATCACAAGTGACCCTGCTGGTGTTCAAAATAGTGGTGGCAGAGCTTTCAGCATCACAGCCACACGCAGCCGACACAGTACGACAACCGACAGACGGGTGGTGTGGTTCCCTGACTGGGAAATGAATCTAGGCCACAGCGGGGAGAGCACCTAATCTTAACCGCTAGAGCACCAGGGCTGGCCACACAGTCAACACCACATGCAAATCACTGCTCTAAGTACCTTACATGGAATCACTCAATCTTCCCAACAACCCAAAGTATTATCCTCATATTACAGGTAAGAAAACTGAGGCATAGAGGTTAAGTAACTTGACCAATTAATAACAGACAAAGGCTGATATGAGCCCAGAATCCATACTCTCAACCTCCAAGCTACAGCTTACCTCCAATATTGTTAGCACCAAAAACTTTGAGAGAGGTATGGTTATGGGAAAATAAAGGTTACAGAAACAGTATATACTATATAATCCCATTAGAAAAACAAAATCTTTATGAAATGTGAAGGCAAAGACCCACAGCAGCACCTGGAGAAAAAATTTCACAGGAAGCCCACAATAGTTATTTTGGTACATGTTAACCAAACTGAGGTAATTTATTAAATGACTTCCTAACTCATTAATCACAACAGCATCTACAAACATTTTTAAATAGTTGGGCACGTTGTTTAGTCACCTACAGGCAGTGGTGGGCTGGTAAACCAGCTCAACTTAAAAAAAGGAGAGACAGAAAAAGCCCTGACCTGCAGCCTTTGCAGATTTCCGTGGTACTCCCCGATCCCAGCTGATTTCTAGCTCTCCATTGCTTAAGCCAGGCCGAGAAGAGACGCTGTCGCGTCCCACTGCTATAGGAAATGTCTGGTGTTCACGGGGGCTCGCAAATCCCAGGTAGTAAGGGCAGCCTCTTCCAGCAGTGAAGAACCTGCTGGGAAAGCCTCCTCTCATGGGCTGCGCTCAGTCAGCGGGGACATTCTTAAGAGACCAGGAAACCAGGGCTTCGAAGCAGGCAGAGCAAGGTCTAACTTAGCTCTTTATAAGGTACCTAAGCCGCTGAGCTTCATGGTCCTGGGGTGTACAACGGCCCTATTCCTCCCTTCTTGTGTGAAGAGGAAATGACACAAGACACGAACGCTGGGATCTGCATATATTGTATACAGTAGGGGCTCGATAACTACTCGTTCCCTTTCTCCCAGAGAGGTGAAGACTCCTGTTCCTGGTTGGTAACCAGCTCTTCCCAGGCCAGAGCTGCCTCAGCCTGGACTCACTGTCCCCTCCCAACCCACAGGCCTTCTTCCTGCCTCCCTTCCCACTCACGTCCCTCCCACCTCTTCTATATCCTCCAGGAAGCCCTTCTGGAACAACTCTTTATTCCACTGGGCTGCACAGGCCAGCGCCATACTGAGGCTCTCTGGGGGTCCAGCTGTGCCCAGCACTAGGCAGAGTTACAAAGATGAATCCTGGACTCCAAGGAGTTTGGTCTCAGCGCAGAGACAGCAACAAAGCAGGAAGCGTGTCAAGTGCTGCCTCAGAAGTGCTAGGGAAGCAGAACAGGCTGGAGGATGATTCTGAGGCTTCCTGTAAGCAGTTAGGTCTGTGTGAAGGTGGAATAGTAACCGTGCAAGTGGAAGGGGGAGGAAGTAGTGGCCATATCAGGGGCAAAGGCCTGAAAGAAAAGTAACCCAGGATTGAGGAAGATGGGCCCATAAGCAGCCTGATGTCACTGGGGCTTAAGGCACAAGGTGGGCCACTGCTGGAGGAACTGCCCCCTCCCCTTTGTACCACTGGACCTTCCGCCCCAATCTGGGAAGCCCAACACACTCTGGTGGTCCTTTCACAAGCCAACCCAGCCCAGGCTGGTCTCTCCAGACTGGTCTCTGCTGGTCAAGTGAGGGTAACCCAGAGGCACCTAGGGAGGTCACTGACATATGGCACAGTAGTCCTGCTCCGGACACGAACAGTCTAGCTGGGAAGCGAAGAAATTCACCCCCTGTGCCCTGCGCTCTGACAGCACAATCAGAGAAGAATTTATTACACTCTTCAAAGTCAACACAGTTACAGAGAGTCTACCTCAGAGCGCTTTGAGGGCAGCGCTTTGGAGCCTTGTTTATCTCCGTCCCTTCCCCAACAGCCAGCGCAGGACCTAGCACGTAGCAGGGAAGTGTGTGAAGGGAGCTGACGGCAGACCTGCTATCTGCCAGACTGTGGGGACGACAGGGCTGGAGGTGATTGTGTCCTCAGGGAACTGCTGGCTTGGTGGGGAGAGAGGGGCAGTCAGAAACTCACAAGGGTGCGCTCAGGACGGGAGCGATGGACTGAGGACGGGCACCTGAGTCACCAGGCCAGGCACTCAGACAGGCAGAAACCTGGCAGTGGAGGGGACGATCTGAAGGGCTTCAGGAAGGTCTGCCAGGCAGCCCAGGAAGGGAAAGGCATCCAGACAGAGAAAACGCAGAGTACAAGAGGCAAAACCCATCCATTGTGGGAAGGCAAGGAGTTTGGTGCAACAGTTGAACAGCAAGGAGGTAGGGGGTGAAAAGACAGATGGAGTGGGGACAGTGAGAGAGAACTGTTCCCAGAGGGTGGTAAAAGTCTGGACTTAATCCCAAGACTGACGGGGAACCATCAACCTCCCTAGAGAATTTTAGGGAGAGGGTGACAGGATCACAACTGCCTTATGGGAAGAGGTCTGGAGAAGAGAAGAAGCTGAGCAAGAGCAGCAGAGAGGAAGAGAAACGGGGGGGGGGGGGGGGTGGGGGGGTGAAGTGCCCTCTGGTGAGGACTGGGCCAGGGCGAGTCATGCTGACCCATCCTGACTCATCCTCCCTCTGCTTGCTCATCTCCTCCCCAAGAAGACTTCTCTCTTTTAAAAGGACTCTTAACTATAATCAACTTCCTCATCATGACAAGTCACATCCTAGAGCTGACATACAGAACCTGGATCGGGCCAGCCCAGCCACGGGGAGAACAAGCCTAAGACGGAGACCGGCCCTGCTAATAACTGACTTCTGCGGGGGAGGAGGGTCCTTTCCCTTCTCTGAGAGCCCTGAGGGCCCTGCAATTCAGGAGCTGAAGCCCGGACTAGGGTCGGTGGCCTCCGGGACCCTGCTGGCAAGGGTTCAAAGAAGCCAGAAATTAGGTTCCCTGAGAAAAGGTGTCTGTGGCCTTGCGCTTCAAGAGATGAAAGCAGGGCCTCTTCTTTGGCCCTGACCTTGCTAACACGTCAGAACCGACAATTAACTACCAAGGGCACCCTCCCCTACCCCAGGCCCCCAGATGGAGCTCAGTGAGGCTGGGGAGAAGTTTCACTCCAGCGATGCACACAAATCTCTCTCCAGCCCTGAGAGAGTTTCGGGGAGCGCTTTGGGGAGCACCAGCCACCAGGCCTTGGGCCAAAGGCCCCAAATGAACCGCGCAGTCAGAATCACCAGTGGCATCAGGGCCACCACCCGCTGGCTGATCCAGAAGGCAGTGGGCAGTTCCAGACCCTGCTCTGGCACTTAAGAGCTAGACGAACTGTCCTAGGTTAGGGGTTTCCCCAGAGCAGCTCATTACCAGAAACAATTAAGCCGTCCGTGTAAGACGCCCATTTCCAAGCCTGCCTCTACACCTTCTTAACTGCCATTTTGGGAACGGGGCCTGAGAATCTGTATTTTAAAGAGCGCGCGACCCCACCCCCAAGCCATGATACTAAAAATCACCCGAATTTCAGAAAACCTGGCTCGACCCCCCTCCCCACGCTACTAAAAAAAGTTCACAGACAGGGAAAGTCCGGAGAGCCCCGCGCGATCTCCCCGCCGGCGAGCCCCGAAGGGCGCCGCGTGGAGGCCTGACCTCACCCCGGGAGAGACTCGGGCGTTGGTCACTCACTGGCCGCCGCGGCCCGGCCGGCGCCCTCCCGGCCGAGTCCCACCGCCCAGCGCCGCCCCCTCACGCCCGAGACCCCCGAGCAGGCGGGGACGCGCGACAGGCGGCACCCAGGGCCCGGCCTGCACACCCGGGGGCCCGGAGCGCCGGTCGGCTGGGCCCGGGCGTCCGCCGCCGCAGGCCGGCGGTAGACACAACGCGCGGGGCCCCGCGGCCGGGGACACGCCGCGCCAGCCCGCCCGACCCCACGGTCCCGGGAGGGCCCCTGAAATCACCTGGAGCCCGGTGCGTGTCCTCCCGCCCGCACGTGGCGTCCCGGCAGCCGGCAACTCCCACATGCCCGGGCTAGCCCCGCTCCGGCTGCCCGCCTATTGGCTCGCTGAGCGCCAGCGCCCGCCTAAGACCTCTTCTGATTGGCCGGGAGCCTGGCTCTCTGCGGGTTGGCGCGCGCCAGCAGAAGGGATGGGGATTCGTAAGGGGGCGTGGTTTGTGCCCGTTGCCGGCCAAGCCCGCGGGAAATTTTAAAGAGACGGGAGAGGAGCGCGGCCTCCTCGCCTGACTCTAATCCACCCCGCTCCCTGGGCCGCGACGTGGGCTCCTATGAACATCGTGTCACCAAAGGCAGAATGACTTACAGAGTACACGTCCACATGTACAGAACGGGAATAACACCCCCTACCTCCTCGGGTGTCGTGTGGATTCGGTGAAATAATACACATGATGGGCAACTAAAGAAAGATTTTTAAAGTCAGGTTTGCTCCTTCGGCGCTATTTTTTCATTTATTCTTTTGCATTACTTTACTTGTAAGTATTAAATGCCTACTATGGGCTCGGTTGGGGTACACAGAATAAACACAGTCCCTGACTCTAGTTGCTCAGGGTCTGGTGCGGTAACGATGATTAGCAGATAATTCAGTGCAGCGTGAATAACAAGAACCATAATAAAGAGTTCATATTTGTTATGTGAGCACTCCCTGTGCCAGGGGATATACGCCTTTAATCTGCACAAGAACCCTATGAGATGTGCACTATTATTATTTCTGTTTTACAGTTAAGGAAGCTGACTCTTAAAGAAATTAAGGAGAAACAGCTAGGGTCCAAACAAAGACCCTTACCAAAGCAGTCCAACTCCTCCTAGCTCCATTTTGCAAGCAGTGGTGGCATCGTAAAGGCATCCAGAAGGTCAGGGGTACATGTGTGGAGGAATCCACTATTTCTAAACAGTATGGATTTGACAGAAGCAGGACAAGGATAAGGCCACTGGAGAGGTAAGTCCTTCTACTCAGACCCCTGAAGGCTTTGGGGAGCTGGGAGGAGTTTAAGCCAGAGCTGGTTCATCACCAGATTTGCACTGGGGGAAGCTCACTCTGGCTGCAAGATAGAGAGAAATGGATTAGGCTGGGAGAAAGAGGGGTTGGAGGGTGATTGTGGACACTCAGGCAAGATAAGATCCTGGTGGCCAGAGCCCTAGAGAGGATAAAGAGCTTGGGTCAGATTCCTAGGAGGCAACATTGACAGGACAGAGAATGGAAGGAAGGGGATGGAGAGCAGCTGTCTGCAGACATGGAGACTGTGTGAGAGGTAACTCCGGGGCCAGGAGGGTTGTAGCGGAGTCAGTGTCCAGATCCTCAGCTCCCATGGGACTGGACCTGAGAACGTGCCTGGAGTCCTTGGGGTTCAGCTTCCCTCTCCCCTTTATAACCAGCTGTCTCCCACTTCACAAAAGGAAGTCACACACACACCCATTCCAAATCTTGCTCTGCTGCATTACCCTGGGAAATAAGCCTCCACGGAGGAACAACAAGGCAGTTCTAAATATGGGTTATTATTGAGGTCTCGGCAAGAAACCCTTCTACAAGGCAGGTCATTTCTGATTCTTTGCTTTCACTACCATCCAAGGAGAGGATTTAATCATGTTGTCAGTTAATAGGTCATTAAAAATATTTTTTTTGAGGATAGATAATTATCAGGAATTAAAAGAACTGAGAGACATTGCCAGAATAAACCTCCCTCCACTTCTGCTTTTCATGTGAACAATGTTTATCGGTGTTAACATCCATAAAAACAAAACAGAAAGCCCAAATCTGTCTCATTCTTGCAAAAGGTAATATTCATCCCTGGATTTATAAACTTAGTGGAGAAACAACTGGCTCACTCTATCTCTTTAGTTTTTTAATTTTATTTATTTATTTTTTTCCCCCAAAGCCCCAGTAGATAGTTGTACGTCATAGTTGCACATCCTTCTAGTTGCTGTATGTGGGACACCGCCTCAGCATGGCCAGAGAAGTGGTGCCTTGGTGCGCGCCCGGGATCCGAACCCGGGCCGCAAGCAGTGGAGCACGCGCACTTAACCGCTAAGCCACGGGGCCGGCCCACTCTATCTCTTTAGGAAACATATTTTCAAGGGCATTCCTAATAAAAATTTACTTCTAATGTTTAAAGATTATCACTCATATAATGAATGCTATATATTTGTTATTTGATCACATGTACTACAAAGAATCGCAACAATATCTCAATCCAGTAGGAAAAAAATGAACACTTAGAACCTTATGGGTCACAGAACATTTTTTTAGAGTTAACAAGTTCAAATTGATATACATAATTTTATGTGATTGGATGCTCCAGAAAATACTGCCAAGCATGAAAATATATTATGCTAGGATAACAACATAGCAGAATTTGAACAGAAATATAAGTTCAAGAAGAAAAAAGAATGTTGCATATATAGTAAATACAGAACAAATCCAGACTTAGTAAGGAGAGATGTTATTGGAAAAGATTATTGGGGGAGGGGGGCCGGGAGGAGGAGGGAAGAACTATTGCAATAAGGAAAGTGTGCTGATTGTGAGATCTGCTAGCTCTCAAGGTTAGGCAAAAAAAGGTTTTCTTTTATAGGGAGGAATAATCAAGGCTAGAAAGAACAGGATACAGGGAGGCGGGATGGACAGGAGTGGCCTGATCCGTTATCTGGAGAGTAGACCCAAGCACCCAGAGGCCAGCCTGTTCTCAGGAGGGGTCGTTAAGGAGGGATTGTAAACTGGTCTGGTTGAGAGTGGGCCATAGTTTCGAGACCTGGGGCAAGAAGAGAAACTGAACCAAAGTTTGGTTAACAGCATTTTGTTCCAACTGACGAGTGAGCCCAGCAGTTCAGCTAATCATTTATGAGGCAAAGAATGAGAATTTGGAGTGTCTGTGCCAGGCCTCACGGTAGGCACACAATGGGGGAATCCATGAGTCTTCTCTCAGTCAGATGCAGCAGGGTGCTTCTTTGCAGCAAGCCGATTCCAGAGCACAAAAGGATGGGGAGAATTTCTTAACCATTGCTGCTTTCTGGGAGCACAGGGCTCCCTGAAATTCAACATTGTCACTAAGAGTTTTTTTACCTCCTTTTAAAATGGTTAATGTTGGTATCAAATGCTATGATAGTCTCCATTGCATTCATTTATGGACACGTTTTATTAACACATCAATATTTACAATATATCATTTGTAACTACTTAGACTTATGATAAAGAATATTATCAAGCAAAAAAGTTGAAGGTCCCCAGGTATACAATACAGGTGGCCCAATAGTGGCATCTTGACTGTGGACAGCAGTACTTCCAACCCCACCTTTAGGGACCTCACGCTCCCATTCATGGAGTGAAATTATCTCCTCTCTCCACAAAGACTGAGGCTCCTCTATAACAGAATCACCTTGAGCTGGGGCTTGGTGGAAGAAAGCCCACAACCCAAGGCCCGCCCCTATGGAGCCCACTTTTCCCCTCCACCTTGTCAGTCTGGAAGCACTTGAGACCTAGGACTTGATCTGTTTTGCGGTTATAAATCATTTTGCCACAGTCAAAGCACCATTCTGCCTGCCTAGGGTACCTGTTTTGAGGACTATTTGGGATGCTATGGGATTCCCAGTCTGCTGGACCAGGTGCAGACTTGAAGTGGGGGTCGACCTGGCCATTTTTTGGAGCAGTGGTTCTCTAAGTGTGGCCCTAGACCAGCAGTCTGGGCATCCCCTGGGAATTTGTTGGCCCTCCTGACTCAGAAATTCACAGGGTGGGGCCCAGCAATCTGCGCTTTAACAAGCTGATTCAACAGCTTCTGATGATGCTCAAGTTTAAGATTCTTTGTTTAGAGGGTATGAAGCTAACAAAACTCTGGGGGTCAAATGCAAATAACTGACGCATTTTATTCAAGCAGATTCCTCTCTATTAGCACTCTGGATCCCACAGTGACTTTGGCTCTACCTGGACACAGCCTGTCACCAAGACACTTATGATAGCTTTATACCTTCCCTCAACGTCTGAGAATTTCCAGGGTTCTTAGGCCCAGGTTAAGTCTCACATGACTGATTTTTTATGGAAAACTGGAGAGATTTGATCCAGAGGAATTTTATCCTCCACGGTTACTTGTTCCATTCTAGACTAATCTTTAAATCAGTGGTCCTCAATCTCGGCTGAACATTGGAATCGCCTGCGGAGTTTTAAAAAACATTGCTGCTTGGGTCACATGCCAAGATTCTGATTTAACAGGTACGGGGCGGGGCCTGAACACGGAGATTGTGAAAGCTCGCCAGGTGAATCCAGTTTGCAGCCAAGACTGAGAATCGCCGC